ATATGAAAGAATATTTTTGACAATAAAAACAAAGTTTAATTTTGCAATATTATCGTCAGTGTTGCCACTGTTATTCACTTTAAACTTTCCCAATGGAAGCAATATGGAAGCCTTTTCTTTTTATTTAACGTGACTATAATTTATCTTAATATCTTCTTTTAATTTATTATATGGCTCAGCTCAGCCATTCTAATGCAGAACAGAACGACTCACAGTTTGGGCCCATTCAAACCAATCAAATCTTTCCGAGGGGAATGGCCATATAATTTATGAATTGTTTTATGTGTGTATCGATTATAAAACTATTTCAATTGTGTAGTTATTTAGTATTACTTAACAGAATTCTAAACTACTGGGCTTGTTTCTTTCTTTTTAGTTTTTATTTAAGTTAATTTTTTCATTTATTTTTTAAAATTAGTTTTTACGCAGTCGGGTTTTTTGTTTTTCCTTCAATAATGTATTTTTATTTTATACTTTTTAGTTACGATTCGTTGACTTCGTTAAAGGATGGTAAATTTCGCAATCTAGTCATTTCATTGAGGGAGTTGATATCGTTAGTTAAACAACTTTAAATCGTTATATATACTAAAATTTTATTTAAAATGAAAAAAGATAAAAGGAACCTAAATATGATTCTAAAATTCCTATTCAACGCCACCCCACTTGATATAGTTCATCGATTTTTTTTTCATCTCGACAACATGGCGTCTGGTTGTCGCTGTGGTGAATTTTGATTACTATCATGTTTTAGTGACACTCGCTAGTTTAAGAGGAAATTATTATCAGAATCGGCCTACGCATTTGGTCTCTAGGACGCCACATAGAAACAAACATACATACATACATAGACCGATAAACACATTACCCTCCTTTGCGTCGCGCAGTCGGGTAAAAAGGCGATATTATTAAAGACAGCGAACGACTATTTTCTTGACTTTAAATAGGTATATTAAAGAAATTTTCAAAATAAGTACAGTATATAACTAATTTTTGTACTACAGTATTTTATACTTATATCTACATTACTCGTTCATTAATTCATTCATCATAAGGGATAATATATTCGTCAGCTGGCAATACAGTATCAATTACCCATTTTTCCGTTCATTTTGACGTTTGCACATATTCTGCCTTTGTTTAAGTTAAAGTTTAATCGTAGATATGAGGGAGACAAACACACTAAACCTATTTATATTATTTAGTATAAATATTATTTGCAAAGCTACGTCCTGATTTCGGAAAAGTGCTACGACCTTTGGCGCGTCTGTTGGTGGCCTGTTGTATGGGCTTCTCTAGTTATTAAACTCATTGTATTTAAGTATGTTAAAGTACAAGTACAAGAATTTCAATGTAGTTAAAAAATGTGAGAAGCTTATTATTATTAATGTAAAAAAAATAATGTACAAATTAACACTAATCAGACAAGCACGCACCATCTGTATGTTATATTGATAAAATGTCCACTCGAAGCATTATGAGATTAATATCTGTTATCTTACTTATGGAATTTATTATTATTATTATTATTGTTATTAGTGTACTACTGTGATTTGAATAAGTATAAACGAGAAAGTAATTTATACAAACCTTTGTAGTTATTATCCAGGATAGTTTATGAAAATTAATATAATGTTTTACAAAAGATATTAAAATATAGATTGGGGAGTATCATTTCGTGAATTTGAAATATTTTTAGGTAGTATATATGCTTCACATCTTTTAAATTACACAATTCCTCTATGTCCTCTATGTCAGTTTTGATAGATTCGGAAAAAATAGGACCTTACGGCGTTAGCGACTTACGGTCAGTTGCACAAACGTCCGTTAAGGTTTAACGACGCCTTTAAGCTCTAATGAATGTCAAATTTGTATGGGTAATGTCGCTTTAAAGTAATGAATTTTTTAAAGCTTTTTTTTGTTTTTTTGTTTCTGAAAAACCGATTGTGATAACAATATAAATAGGTGCAAGGTAGTACCACCGCCAAGTTTCACGACTAAAAGAGCATATTGTAATATGAAGCAGATAATCCTAGAATTATTGTTAAACAAATTTACCACTGACTGACTCAGTGGCTCACTGTTAATCAATATTCTTAGATGATGAGAATGCAAAATTTGAAGCTAGCGAGCTTCAAATTTTGCATTCCATTATTAATTAGCCTATAAACCAAGAAACATCTCTGACTGTCTGAAACTTTAACGCCGTTTTCTAGTCTTTCATTTGGTTTTCTATAAGTAATAATCTGGTCAAATTCGATAAATAAAATTTACCAACAAAGCGTTACCTAGCAACAATGGCATAGTGTTTGCTATTCATCTAAAGTTTCTTATCAGTTTGTTGACCGTTATTGTTGTTTAGCGATTTGGATGTTGTTTAAATCATTTTAGTGTATTTATTTTATTTGCTATATTTGTACTAATGATTTACAAAAAGAAATTCACATAAAAATTGTTAATTATCAATAAGAGTCTTGGCTGAAAAAAATCATGCCACTACCAATTATGAAAGACCAAGTTCAAACCAAAATAAGAAGCTTCCATTATCTTAGCATAAAAAAATTACACACGGAGATGTATTTGTCACTGTCATTTAGTGATAAGATTTTAATCGCTTTATATAAAAGAGTTGTGATAATCGTCTAGTAGTTAGTAAATTTTAATTGAACTGTTACTTGTATTAAGTATGATTCGATTAAACATTATATTTTATATTGTGCTGGTGTTGACGTGTGCGTCTAGTGCAGTATATGGGAATAATAGTAAGTTCTAATTGCTATTTCCAATAAAAATGTCAACTATTGAAATTCATAAGTATATTCATTCTTAATGCACAGTGCTTAAAAAATCTCTAGCTTCAGATATTCTTAGATGGAGCTCGAATATTATTTTATTTTTTTATTTACCAGTTATTTACCAGTATAGTATTTACCAGTTATTATGCATTATGAACGCAAAATTGTTTTAATATAACAATTAAAACAAATTTTCATCTCAATCGAAAGTTTAAATATTTGGAAAAATATTTCTTTCGGCTGTTTCGATGGATTGCCTGAACGTTGATGAAAATATTCGCACTAGTCAGCAAAAAGTAATAAGTGTTTTGAGAATTTCGTCAGTCCTGTTAGGTCCTGTGTAGCTCAGTGGTTAAAGCCGTTGCCAGATTGCAATATGTCGTGGCCTCGAGTCCCATCTCAGAGGCTGGTGCTGGTGGATCGTTAAGCATTTTTCATTATGAATATTTTCTATTATAACATTGTGAATGCAAAATTGATCGAATATAGTAAGAATTAACATTCTTGATTTTTTTTATCTAAATAAAATTTCGTAGAAAATAAATATTAAACGCTGTTTTACTTCAGACATCAGGCTATTTTTTTTTTTGCATTGCCGACCTTTAAGGTTTTTTCATACCGAACACAGATTGTATTAGATGTCAGCGCAATTTAAATTTTAACGAACTTTTATTTTGTTTCAAGGCAGTTTCATCAGTAAATATTTGACTTAAATTTTGTTTTGTTTCCATTGACTCTTACTGGGAATATATTTTTATAATAAAAAATTCTTAAATCAAACTTATAAAGTAGTTTACTGAACACAATATTTTTTTATTGCATTTAGTATTCAATATTTTTTTTTAAATATAAATAATGCATATATTTTGCTTGTAGATTTATCATCATCAGCCTATTAATGTTCCCACTACCGGGGCATAGGGGCATAAGCTTTTTTTATAGATGTAATCGAATCAAATCACATAAGGAGACTGAGCCATGAGGTGGGTATCACGTGAGCCCAGTACGGATTGATGGGTGTTAACGACTACAGATGCACCTAGAACGAATATCTCGCCTTCCGAAGAACGGTCACATAAATTTTTGTATATCCATTCAACGTTCTCTTTGAAACTCTTTGAAAGTTGCTAAGTTCCGCATCGAAGACTGATCGCATTTACAACTGTGTTATCGGGCCCCTGAATCTATAGGTTACATTTGTACAATTAATAAATAACGCTGAATTGATTTGGAAAATTAGATAAATTAAAAAAAAATAAAAGAAATTTATCCAACATTTACAATATTACGTATTTAAGAATTATCAGTGGTTTTTGCACTGCTGCTATGCTCGATCTGCAAAGACAGTGAATGTTATTCCCAGTACATTTTATAGTCAACAGTACGTCAGACTATACTGAACTGTCAAATTTCCCCATTAGGTTTATAAATTCCAGTGCATAAATTTGACATGTTGTGGTAACTTAAAAATATTAAATCAAAATACTCCTAATTGAATCAAAATACAGAAATACTGCAGTGGTCTTTTTGTGTTATTTAAAAATCTATTGCGATCCCTTTCAAATATAAAGTGATAGTGTTAGCGATTCATGGAATTATGTAACATTCAGTCTTGCAATCTTGACAATAGGGATGATGACTAATTTTTGTTTGTTTGTCCGTCAGGTAGAGTGTTAAAAAATAATTAACACGTATTTTTTTATTTCCTTCGCAATCATAAAATTACGGCGTTACATGGAGTTGAAATTTCACATGACGTCACGTTATGGTACGTTTTCTACTAAACTGTGACGTAACGAGCCCCCACTCCTCAACTTTAATGCCTGTTATCTAAGCTATTTCTTGTTAAATTGAAGTAAAAAAAAAATACGTATCTAATATTTTTCTATTATCTGACTGACGGACTAATTAGAATAGCATTTTTTTTTACCCAGTCGTCATCCCTATTCCAAATAACGACAAATTAACGATATCGTTCATTCAATATATTTTAAAAAGTTGACGCGATTGCAATTGCTATCACATGTCAAATAGTTATATAGTGAAGTTCGTTAATATCTTCCAAATATCAAATTGAAGGGGATTGGAATAGATTTGAAAATTAGACAATCTGCACGCGTAGCATGACAAACTCGAGAAACGGTTTGTCTATACTCATTTGTCAGTTTCTCGGGTCGAGAGTGAGATATAGTATGGGCGCACTCGAGAAAAGTGACATTTGAGTGTAGACAAAACGTTGTCGCGTTCGTCATGCTACGCGTGCAGGCCTCTGGTAATAGAAAAAAATAATTGTATTCTTTTACAGAAGTCGTGGTGTGCTACTATGGCACTTGGGCAGCACAAAGGCCAGGCTTGGGCAAATTCGAAGTGGGCAATATAGACCCATTCCTATGCACTCATATCATATACGCTTTCGTCGGTATCGACACAGAGGGGACAATTATTTCCATTGATCCAGATACTGATTTTCCTGGAGACGAAAGTAAATACACGTGTTTTATATTGGACTTTAAACTTTTAGGAGTCCCTAAATCTGAATGTACAATATGAAGCTCAATAGCTTCATAATGTACATTCAGATTTAGGGTTGCTGCATAAATTTTATTGTTATTATGATAATGTCACGAAATTTAAGACTAGTTTCACGAAACTAGCTACGGTATATTTGAAACTACTTTTGTAGTGGCGCTCTTACACTCTGAGACACTGACTTCATCAACATCGTAGCTTTACTATTTGCAGATGGTGCCGCGACACTACTTTCACCACGTAAATCGTGATGAAATAAGTAACGAGTTTCGCAAAAATATGCGCATCATACGAAACTAGTATCAGGAAACTAAAGCATGTATTGTGAAACTGGACGTTAGGCGCTCATCCACTGCCTTAGCACTAGTGTTGAAAATTCCCGAAAGTTTCGGAAACATTGAAAATTTGTCCGGAAAGTTTCGGGAATTTTACCATAAAATTTTTAAAATATGGAAAGTTTTGGAAGTTTATGCGATATGGTTCTATTAACGTTGATTTGGCTTACTTATAGAGATTTTTTTTAACTTAAAGTTAAGATTACGTGAGACCATATTGGTGATTTAGTAATTGAGAGAAAATAAAATCATAAATAATTTGAATTGTCCATTTATGGGTCAGAAATATAATTCATGATAGCTGCAGTTAGTTTTAATTTTCAGTACAAATTGACAATTTCATAATTTAAAACCCCTTACATTAAATGTTGTCCTCGTAGCGTGGATCTGGAGAAATACCATATGATGAATGCTGTGTTGATTCTTCGGAAAACGGGAATGATAATGACGACTTTAACTCTATAGGATTAGGCACTGGAATGAGCGAAACTTGAAAAAAGTTCGTTCTGTCATCTTGAATAAAAGTGTTGCTTGAAGTTCGGTTATACCCTAATATAAAAGTGGTAACTCTTTTACCACTTCATGACGACAAGTTTTTCGCAATAGTACTGGGTACTGAATCAGCGGAACTTTCACTTTGCGCTGATATTGTCAGTGGCGGATTTACCACAAGGCAATAGTAGGCCCAGGCCTAGGTCAAGGTCTGGATTTGAAGTAGTCCCTGCAAGATGGCCTTCTCCCAAAAGAATTGTATCTTGATTTATCTAAACAAATTTAAGAATCTCTTAAAATAATGCAGGTATACTGATCAGAAAAGAATGGGAATAAAACAGCAATTATTTTGTATACAATGAATATTTTCGTGAAATAACAAATGACTGTTATTACTCAGATATTTATTGTGTCAAATAAAATGTAATCCTATTGTAGTCCTGTCTATTTTTCACTGACATACGTCAAAAAGTGTAAGCACATCTAATTTTAGGGTTCTGTATGCAAAGGGTAAAAAAATTGAATAAAAAAAAAACCCGACTGCGTAAAAACAAATTTTAAAAAATACTTGGGAAGATTTGATTGGTAAAATTTGAATGGGCCCCGACTATGAGTCGTTCTGTTCTGCATTAGAATTTATTACTTGTTTTATGTGTGTATCGATTATAAAACTATTTCATTTGTGTAGTTATTTAGTATTACTTAACAGAATTCTAAACTACTGGGCTTGTTTTTTTCTTTTTAGTTTTTATTTAAGTTAATTTTTTCATGTATTTTTTAAAATTTGTTTTACGCAGTCGGGTTTTTTGTTTTTCTTTAAATTATTTATTTTTATTTTATATATTTTTTGTTTTTATATCGTTTATACTTTGAATAAAAATTTAAATCAATAAGTAAGAAAATTAGCGAATATGATTGTTTTGTTAAACAACTTTAAATCGTAATATATCCTAAACTATTATTTAAAATGAAAAGTGATAAAAGGAACCTTAAACTGATTTTAAAATACCTATTCAACGACACTCCACTTGACATAGTTCGTTTATTATTATTTTTTCATTTTGACAATATTGTCGCTGTGGTGAATTTTGATTACTGAAGACATGAGTAAAGACATGAGTCTTTAGTGACACTCGCAAGGTTAAGAACGAATCGATTGACGTAAGAATCATCAAAATCGGCCTACGCATTTGGTCTCTAGAACACCACATAGAAACAAACAAACACACATACATAGACTGATAAACACATTACCGTCCTTTGCGTCGCGCAGTCAGTTAATAAATATTTAAGGGAGTTTCCATACAACAAATGTGATATTTTTGCTGTCACTATGATATTATAGTTATGATAGTTAGACTGTAAAGATCTTCACAGATATTATATTTCTGTTGCTGCTACGAGTATTACAAATACTTAGATTTTTCTGCAAACATTAAACTAGACGAATGTTATTAATTACGTATTCATTGTATGCATACATAACACTACATTTTGTATAATAAAACAATGTCATTATGGTAATTTATAGGAAAATAATAATTTACAACACATTATTAGTAATATGTAAGCGTTATTATTATATTATAAGCACTTCTGTTATATATGCTTTCGTCGGTATCGACACGCAAGTGACAATTATTTCCATTGATCCAGATACTGATTTTAGCTTAATAAATGCAATAAAACTATTGTCATGCTATTGAAGTAAGACGAAACTAGTTAGTTTCGTTATGTTAACAAGCGTTTAAGAATCAGTGTTAAATAAAAATCCGCATTCACACTGAGCGATCCAAGAAATCGCGCGTATAGTTAACTAAATCCAAAATCAAATTGGGGACAGATAATGACGTCAGATATGTTCGTGTATGGGGGTTATATTTTTGTTTTATTAATTTGAATAGTATTCTTATAATTTGTTTAACTCGTTACAGATAACTTCATAAAATTTACTGATTTGAAGAAACAGAATCCCAATCTTAAAACTCTTTTAGCCGTTGGAGGCTGGGAAGAAGGATCTGAAAGATATTCGGTTGTAAGTATATACAGCCCAGAAAATAATATTGTTTTATCTATCCGACCTATTAAACTTCATATTGCATTTCAACTTTTTTTGTTGTGCATTTTAGTATCTTTTTCATTTCTATTTCAGTAGTTTTATTTTTATACAAAATAATAAAACTAATATAGTAAAGTTTATCCATTAAAACGATAATATCTTTCATCAAATATATTCTAATAAAAGTAATTACGCTAAAATTTTGCCAGGCAACCCTGATGTAATTTATTCACGATCATGAATCATTCATAAATTTTAATTTAAAAAAAAATGTTTAAAAATTGTTTTAATAAAATAATAAATCAAATAACTGCATAATAGATTTAAATGACAAATCGTAGTCTATTGCAATTAACATTAATTTCTTTTTAGATGGCAGCCAGCCCTACTCTACGACAGAACTTCATCCAAAGTGGTCTCAAAATGATTTTCGATTACGGCTTTGACGGCTTAGATATAGATTGGGAGTATCCCAATCGGCGTGATACAGTTCATGGTGAAGCAGATATAGATAATTTCTCACAACTCCTAAAGGAAACCAAAGAGGAATTTAATAAATATGGACTATTACTTACCGCTGCTGTGTCTGCCGTTGAATATGCAGTAAAATTATCATATGATGTTCCAACTATATCAAAGTAAGCTATTATAATATTTTCAAAGAAATAACAGAATAGTGCAGGCATTTATTTGGCATCGAATCTGGGGATGTTAGACTAATTTCGCAAAGGTTGGATTTGAAATGGGTAACCAAAAATTATTATTCAAATTTTTGGTTATATATCTTTATTTCTAAACCATCAATTTTTGGGAATGTTAGTCAAGACGATAGACTTTTTTCTTTGATTACTTAGCTTTCAACTTAAGGGTTGCCATGATTTTGGAAGGCCAGTCACTATTTGGTCACTTTTTTATTACTTTGCTTTAAATTTATGGAATAATATAACTTTCATAAAAACCGGTTTAGTAGTTACAGATATGAATCATTCAAATTTAAACCCGTTTTAAAATGAGGCCAAATTTTTTTTAAACGTAATTTATTAACATTAACTAGTAATAATTGTCGGTGAGATTTGTTGCTACGTCGAGGTAGTACTCGGACACGTGGATGGTCTACCAGCAACCTTGCACCTTACCTTCGTGAGCCCCATACACAGCTTAGTATCCAATAATTTCTCCTCAGGTACTTAGATCATGTACATTTGATGACATATGATATGCATGGACCTTGGGATGACGTCACTGGTCATAATGCCGCACTACATCAAGGAGAAGGCGATGAAGGAAAGCCAAGAGAAAATTTGTTTACTGTTGACGTATCTGTGGAATACTGGTTAAAAGCAGGTAATAAAAATTATTACTTTTACAAAAAAAAAATATACATCATTTTTTTATGATACAGAACCGGAGTTTCCCAACAATAAATCTTTTCATGATTTTGAATAATCCAACAAATAGCAAGTTTAATTATATAATTGGACGTCCTAAAATTAAATATATATGTTTCCTGAAATCGATTAGTGGTATCACGGCACTGGCCAATATGTATTGTCAAAGTAATACAGCAATCTTTTCTTTAAGGCTGCCCACCTGAGAAACTTATTCTTGGTGTACCTTTCTTTGGTCATACATTCACTTTGAAGGATGCAGACGACAACCGCGTTAGGGCTCCTGTTACTGGGCCTGGTATTGCTGGCCCTTACACTAACTCCAGTGGTATCATTGGATATGACGAGGTAAAGTTATTTTTCTAAGCTTCGAGGACTTACTTTAATAACTGGTCAATTTTTGTCAACCAATAACACTGGGCAGTTCCTTGTACATTATAATGACATGTCTGACATCGTCGACCACAAGTGATGCACTGTATTTATTGTTTATAATCTGTACTTTTTTTTTTTGGTTAATGCACTGGCTTTAACTAAAGAAGTTAATTATTTAATTAAGAAGCTACCTATCTTGTTTTGATGGGTGACTGACGCTGACGCCTAAACCATAGATATATATACTTTTTCTTTCTTGTATATGGTAAAAGCCAAGGAGTCTTACCCCATACAGCCATCTCTGATTTTTATTGCTGAGGTGTATTAGTACTAAACATAAGTTTGCTTTCTCTAATTCATCATGTTATTATTATTATTATCTTATATATTTCATTATATCTATTTTCATTTCTCCGGTAAAATATTGTTCCGCGTACCGAACAGGCTCTGTCAGAATATCAGCGTTGATGTGGCGCTTTCCGTGTCGCATCAACACCAGCTGAGGCAGAGTCCTGGTTGACCTCACTTTCTTTCTCTTTTATTCATTATGTACCTTATTGTTTATTTTGTATCTTTATTGTGTTTTATGTGTTCCTAATAATGTATTATCTTGTTTGTGTCTTTGTGAGGTCAATAAATGTTTCTTCTTCTTCTTCTTCTTCTTCTACTTGCCAAACCAGTATTTCAATAAAAATTTAAAAATGCAATAATTCATGCTTGGTACACGCATACGACTATGTATTTTCAATTATACAAAGGACTCACAATAATGCAAGGTGTAGGTCGGTGACGTAGTGGATAAGTGCCGAAGGCAACGATCGTTTGATACACAACTTTCGCTAGGATCGGTTGGTCACGGGATGGGTGACCAAAACCGTAACATATAACATCTTGTAACAAAACTATTTCTATTATATCAATAATTATATAAAAATATTACAGGATAGATGAGGCAATAACAGAGAGTTTAGTAAAAAAATGAAGTGTTTTTATATCCAAATAGAAGCAATCAAAAAATTCATCCTATAACTTTTTTCTGTCTACAGTTCTGTGTCAAACTCCAAACAGGACCTTGGACCGTACGGAGGGATAACTATGCGAAAGTGCCATATGCTTTTAGTGACGCAAACTGGGTATCATATGACGACCCTAAATCCATAAGAGATAAAGTGGAATATGCCAATAGTATGGATTTAGGAGGTATCATGCTTTGGAGTATTGAAGCAGATGACTTCCACAATGTCTGTGGTGGAGGAAAATTCACTCTTTTGAATACTATTAATGACGCTTTGTATGGATATTAGTACTACTTCATCTCCAACTACTGTGACTATGGGTAAATCATTATATTACTTAAATAAGTTTTCTTATATTATTACCAGTTAAAACTTTAGAAACGGGTGTTCTTTTATTAATATTATAATGAAGAAAGATTTATTTGTTTGATTGCATTTAATAATCCCCAAAACTACTGGAATGTTTTTTTTTTAATATAACTCTATTTAAAGAAAAGTTATTTTCTGCCCTGGCTCGAAAATAATTAAGATATAGAATAACAAATAGCTTGTGGTTTTCCTTCTATTCATTTCTTTTTACTTTTATTCGAATTCATCATCTTTTAAACAAGGTTCTTTCTTTACCTTTTGTTTTTACTACACTCTCTTTTTCTTGTACCATGTGACACAGCATTATCAAAGGTGTTATCAAAATTTTATATATATGTATGTTTTTTTTTTACAGTTCCTCCAGACTCTTCTTCCTTCTGACTTTGCTGCTAATCTATAGGACTTTTACAGCGATATCGGATTTTAATGAAAATAAAGACTTTCTTCATAAAATGTTCGTTTTATTGTTTTAATAGCGTAATTAAAATTAAAATGGGACTTGGTATTAGTACTAAGCCTCCACTCTTCGTACGTCTACATGTCCGTCTGTCACCGGGATGTATCTTTATATCTGAAAATGATAGACTGTTGAAATTTTCAGAGATGTTGTAATTCTATTGCCGCTCTAACAACGAATACTAAAAAAAGAAATAAAATAGATGTTAAAGAGGGCTCCCATACAACAAATGTGATTTTTTTCGGAACCCTTCGTGCGCTAATCACACTATGCCGGTGTTTTGTATTCATTAAATGTTTTCTTCTAATTGCGTAGAATGATTAATTTCTACAAATGTCACCATATTAATCAATTTTGCAGTCATATTTCCATACTGTTAAATATTCATAATGAAAAAAGCTTAAAAAATCCACCAGCCCCGGGTACAGTATATTTACAATATATCATTGTGAATAGAAAATTGCTGAAATAAAATAATTAAAACAAATATTCATCTTAATCGAAAGCTTAAAATATTTGTAATAAATATAATATTTCGGCTGTTGGCTGGATTGCCTGAACATTGATGAAAATACGCTCTCTTACTAAAATATACCATTTATAGTTGCAATATGTAGTTGCGAAAATATAACAAGTGCTTCAAAAATTCGTCAGTCCTGTTTAGTCTCGGGTAATTCAGTAGTTAGAGCAGTCGCCCGGATAGCGAAAGGTCGTGGGTTTGAGTACCATCTCGGGGTACCTGGGGCTGGTGGATTAAGCATTTTTCATTAAGAATATATACAAAAATGAATTATAACAATACATTTGATCAAATGCAATTGCTGTTATTTTTTCCAGGACACCTTGCTAATATTTATTGTGTACTGACATCGTATTATTAATAAGTTAATTTTTTTCAAGAACTTCAGAAAACTGGATCTTAACGAAAAATACCTTCTGGATCCGTATATTGATTGTATGTATTATTAAGTGGTTATCAATCTTTCTAATTATGTGAAAACTAATAAAATGAACCTTACCTATTGTCTGTATTGTAACTATTTAGATACCAATACATTGCTGCTATTTTTTTATTATTTTGGAAATCCATTTAGGAAAAACTATAGAACGGTTGAGATACAAACATCTAAGAGGATAGTTTATTAAAAGAAAAACACTTTCAGCTATTTCTATAATGTTTAAACTCAGTAACAATGATTAATATTTTTGGATGAAAATTTTAGACCATAAATATATAAGTTTTTCTACTAAGTTTTACAATTAATTTGGACCCTTGCAACCACTACTGCTTTCGGCTGTCGGTTGAAAATCGAGTTCGACGCTGCTGTCTATTGCAGTAATAAATTAAGCCGGAGCCTTTTAAACACTGCACCGACAATGACAGAACATTATAACGTGTAGTATTTAGTGTGTAGGCTATTATAAATTTGTTTATGAATGATTATATTATTAATTTCTAAAACAAAAAGGAAGTTTACTGTCGTTTTTGTTTTCAATGAACAAAGCATTGTTTTACTTTTTATAGTCAAAGTCAAAATATGTTATTTGCGTAATAATATGTATCTTCATTGGAATGTTCAACAATGATTTAAAACCAAATATTATTCCACCTTATTCCTGTAGACATGCAAATTTTAATAAAATAGTAACAATAATTTAAAAAATCTATATAAAACACATTCCGCAAACATTTATTCATTATATTTTATTTACTTTTCTATATTTACCTCAGTTTTATTGTTAACTAGCTGACCCGACAGACTTCGTCCTGTCAAAAAGATTTGTAATGTGGCAGTTTTTTTGCCTACGTATTTAAAAAAATTCTCCTGAACAGAACCGTCACCCTGGTGATAGGGCGTTGTGAATAAAAAATAATTAAATAAAACATATATAAGGATTTAAAAGTAAGTAATCGCTTTATTGTTAATCATGTGAATCATAATTATTATTGCAATGTATTAATAGTAATAGTATTAAATATAGAAAAAAGAGATTTTTATGATCATAAAAACACATTACACACAACAGCATTATAAAAGTAAACTATTCGAATTAAAAAAATATATAAACATTCTCAAGGAAAAATGCTGGAAGAATCCATCTACCTGTACCCCGGAATGGGACTCGAACCCATTCGCGATCCAGGGACTGCTCTAACCAATGAGCTATCTAGGACCCAACAGCTTTGCTATTACAGAGCGTATTTTCATCAATGTTCCGGCAATACATGTAATGACGTGGAAACTGATGCATTTTATCTCGCGTGCCGAAACTAATACAAAAGAAACGCGAGTTTCGGAACGCGACATTAAACTCCTCCAACTATGTATTCTGTGCTCCAACGCACACACGCACATTGTTTTGATAGATATGATCTTTGACGTTAGGAACACACCTACATTGCTTAGACAACAGTGAGTGCTTGTAATTTAATATGAACTTTATACCATAACAATAAAGCTCAAATTGACTACGTTTTAGTTACAAATCATTTGTATGGGAAAAAGAAAAGGGCTATTTTTAGGGTTTTTCCAGCAATAATTCTAATTTTTCTCGTAAAAACCATCCTTGAACTTCAACGAACATTTTAAAAAAAGATTTGGCCAAATTGGTCGAGGCGTTGTTGAGTTATGCGCTTACCAACACATTTTGCGATTCATTTTTATATATATAGATTACATTTTAAAATACATGTCGATAAATTTTTATTCCAGTTCATATATTTTGTTTATCATTATTCATACAATGCTAATGTTTAGATTCCATGTATCCTTGAGTCGAATAAAATTCCTGTCCAAAAACCATTGATATAACAGTTTTTTGAACATGTTATTATTTATTGGCAGATCTATTAGATTAAGTGGTAATTTATTAAAAATCTTAATGGCCATTTCAATTATATTTTACTTAGGTATTATAATTTTGTTTTTCCTACGTGCTTTTGTTTTTGTTTCGAAATACATTTTAAAATATTAGGGATATTTTTTTACAAATAAGCACAGCTCCAATATATACATAGAGGGCATTGTAAGAACTTTCAGTTTTTTGAATAGTGGCTTACAAGATTCCCAACTACCAACCCCGTAGACTGCTCGAATGCACTTTTTTTGAGTTATAAATGCCATCTGACGGTCAACGCTGTTCCTCCATATTATTAAGCCGTAGAATAATAGTGAAGACACGTAACTGTATATGATTGTAAAGCTGTCTCAACGGATGCCACTTTACTGATTCTATTCAAAGCGAAAACGTATTTATTTATGTTTGTGCATACATTATCTATATGATACTGGGAATGTTCGTCGAGCGTTAAGCCCAAGAATGTAGCTGTGTCAGTGATTTCTACTCTATCAATGTTATAGTGGATATCTGTAATGATTTTAGTCGTTGACAGATTGTTTTTTAAATTATTCTTATTCACCCAATTTATTACGTCGGAGATTGTATTATTAATATAATTTTGAAGATCTTCAAGGTTTTTATTTTGAAATGATATTCTGCAAATAAAATACAACTGTCATTGGTAATGTCAGGTAGGTCGATTTAACAGATTGTTGTTTTATGTTTGTTTCTAGTCGTGATATTTTTGTGTATTGCTGATAGGTAGCTTTCAAACCATTTATGAGCTATTCGTCTTATACCATAGTCATAAAGCTTTTCCAATAAAATTTTATAATTTCGATTTTGTAAATTATAAAATTTTATTGGAAACGAAATATAAGAACTGAAATTAAAATTTATTGACATCTTATTTAAAATCTAATGAGTATATTTATTTAATTAATATATTTATTAGATGCAATTTATTAATAATAAAACTGACATAAATATAAAAGAAAATAAAATATAATGATAAAATCTATGCGGAATGTGTTTTATGTAGTTTTTCTGTTTATTATTGTTATTTTTTATTAAATTTGCATGCCTATAAGAATAAGGTGGAATAATATTTTGTTTTGAATCATTTTTGAACAACCCAATGAAGATACATATTATTACGCAAATAAAATACTTTGACTTAGTCTATAAAAAGTAAAAGAATGATTTGTTCATTGAACACAAAAACGATAGGAAATTACAAAAAGACGAAATTAATATCGGGCATCTTTGGCCAAAAAAAACCATCTTCGTGAAACCCGGCTTCGGCCCAAAACTAGGCCGAAGCCGAAGGTTTCGCCGAAGGTCCGAGCTACCGTCGAGATTGAACGAACTGTTTCGAAAGACTGAGTGAGAGAGCGATGGACCGGTCGTGTTGGTAGAGACGACCGCGGGGAGTCAGGGCGATTGTGCATTACAATGAATTTTCAGGTCCGGCGGGCCGACTTTTTCCGGTCCCGAATGACTTGAAAAACTCGGATGAGTAGCTTGTGCACTTGTCCGTTTTTTTCCGGATCGGAGTGGCACATTTTAGGGTAGCTCTCTGTGAAGCTACACGTCACTTACAATAGGCACGATGAGATTTTTGAAACGTTGTAATTGCTTGCTTTATTATTACTGTACGTGCGAAGACATAGAAGACAGGAAAAATATTCCTGGCACAGGCTAACATTACCTACATATGGCCTGACATATCAGGCCGGAAAAAATCGGACCGCCGGACATGAAAATTCAGTGTAGTGCACAAGCGCCTTCACTGTCAAATCTGTATTTCTAAATCAA